CAGATTCTGTGTTTCGCACATTTGGTGGGTGAGTACTGCAGTGAGGCCCTTATAGGTTCATCCCACTTGCCAAATGTGAAAAGACAAAAGTATCATCACGGTAGCAGCTTTCATCTTTCCACGAACTTTCCGCACTTGGTCATCCCGCGGGAGCCATCGATCCTTTGCGTCAGCGTTTTCCGGGACTAGGTCCCACCTGCACAAATTTAGAGATACTGACCGTAGATAGCAAAGATCAACGTCCGAAATCTCCTCATTTGCGCAAGTGGGACCTTGCCCCCGGTAAGCACCACCTCTTTTTTGCGCTGATCGCTGATCGCTTATCCAAATCGGAGGGCTTGGGGGGGAAAGCACAGAAGATGACTGGACGTAGGTGCGCGCAGGCATGCCCAGCGCATCAGACGCCTTGGCGGAGGCCTTGCCTCTCCCACTCTCCCTCCCACGGACGACGGGACTCTCTCCACGACTCAACATTCGACAGCTCTCTGGATCCGTGGACCAGATACATTCGGACTGATCGAACTTCTTTCGTCTTCTGTTTTTTTTTTTTTTTTTTTAATAGAACATATCGAACATTCCTTTTTTGGTTTTCTTTTCTTTCTTTTTTTTTACCTCTTCTTTTTTTTTCTTTTTTTTTTTAATCTCTTATCTTTTAAATAGGGCCCAGTGCCCAAGGCAAAATACAAAATATGAAAAGTGTTCCAAATTCAGGGGTCCCAAGGTCTCCAATCCTTCTCTGTGAGGTGGAGCCCCTCCGATGTAGTCAAAGGCAGAGGTTCAACAAAAATATCAAGACTTTTTTTTTTTTTTTTTTTGGGACATCTTTGGTGGGGAATAGAGGGGATGCTGATAAGAGCAGACACCCCCTCTATTCTCCCTGTTTGGCAGATGGCTCCGTTCCATTGGTGGGGAGCTATGTGTCAGAATAGAGTATTGAATACTGTGTGGCAAAGATGCATTCATGGGACGCTGGACCCAGTTTCCAGCAGGTGTTGCTCCTCACCAATAGATGGAGCGGCCCGCTAGGCAAAGCCTCAATCCCGGTGGTTCTCTTACCACCACCAGGATAGAGGTCTTGCAAAAGGGCCTTTCAAAAAAAAAAAAAAAAAAAAAAAAAAAAAAGAATAGAGTATTGAAAATAAATTGAAAACTGACTGATCATTTCAGGTCCGCTGCTGAAGACCCTGTGGGATGATCCCATTATGATGATGTCCTTAGGAAAGGTCCAAACTGAAAGTCTCCAGTACAAGTATGGGCGACGGGCTTCCATATTTGTTGATGAAGATATTTTATTTATATAAATATAAATAAAATAAAATATATCTTCATCAACAACTATGGAATGAATCGTGTCAGATTCATTGTTAAAAAAAAAAAAAAAAAAAAAAAAAAAAAAAGAAGGTTCATAAGGGACCCTGGGCCCACTTCCCAGCACGTGCTGCTCCCCAGGAATATAGATAGCACTGCCTTGTGCCTACGGTCTCCCCCCGAATACAACGTACCTTCATCAAACTGACGGTCTCCCCCCGAATACAACGTACCTTCATCAAAGTGACTGTCCCTACTGTCTCCCCCCGAATACAACGTACGGTCATTATAGCTGTATCTAGACTGAAAGGATGGCTCAAATGCAGCTATAATGCCCGTACGTTGTATTCCGGGGGAGAAGGTAGGTATAGGCAATTCACATCTGTCTGTAGAATTGAACTCCTCTCTCATCTGGGGCAAGGTCCCACTTGCGCAAATTAGTAGATTTCGGCCGTTGACCTTTGCTATCTACGGTCAATATCTCTCTTAATTCGTGCAAGTGGGACCTAGCCCCTGGTACCACCAGTGGAGTTCGCACTCCGATGCCCTTACCTCGTCGGAGACAGCCTCTCCCCATGGCCGCGAGAGCGGCAGCGTGCTCTTCCAGGCTCTGGTATGTGTATTTCAGCACTTCGAGAGTGGACCAGGGGCCAGGTCCCACTAGCAAAGAGGATTGGATTGAACGTTTGAATCTGGACTTGCTTGTGGAAACGTGCAGAATGTCGCGATTGGACTGCTTTTCTTTCTGCATCTCTGCTTAAAACACGCCCAGATTCAGGATATTTATCCAATCCTCTTTGCTAGTGGGACCTCGCCCCAGCTGAGCTAAGGCAGTTGGTGATCCAACATTTTTTTTAATGAAATGGGACAATCACCAGCTTCCCCCCAACCCTCCGCCCCATCCCCCCCCACCCCCGCCCTCAAAACAAACAAACAAACAAACAAACAAACAAACAAACAAACAAACAAACAAAC